TGAAATATTAAGAAAGATGATTATGGTGTTTTAAGAAAAATGTGTCAATTTTTTTATGATTAACTAACTTACCTAATTTCCTTAATCTAATCAAATTAGTTAAATGGATTTTATATTAAGGACCGAAGGAGTATTAATTATAGACATCGAACCAGAAAATGTATCTTGAAAGTGGAAATTAATAAATGTATTTTAGAATGTGTCAAGGGGAATAGAACGAGGAACATACGAGTATCTGGGAAATAACTCACATATTCTGGAATACTCCAGTCAGAGACATAGAACCAGGGGGAGTGTATGTGCTTTGAATTTCATTGATGGATGAGACGATTTTAATAAATTAATTAAGGTAATTATTTATTATTAAATGAATGTTGCCAGCGAATAACATACCAAATGTACATCTTAGTGCAATGTGTATTTTGCTCCCAATTTCTTGATACTTTGATATTGGTGGTTCTTTTTTTCACATAAATTTTCTTATGCTCCTAGTATATCGCCAGGCATATTGGGCGGCCGAAAAAAAAAGAAAGGAGCATATCGATTTTTCATGCTTTTTTATGAAAATCCGTCAATCAAGAGGGCATGTGGCGGTTTATGGAGGGACACGTGCAGGGCAGTGATGCGGAAGGTACATGAACAGCCTCACAATCCCGTAACGGGAATGGCTGTTGGCGGGTGCTTGTCAAGTTGCCCAGGTTTTCTTTTTAGGAACCACGGGAATGCGCTAACGGTTATCATGAATGAGTTGCGATGAGAATAGTCCCCATTCAACAAAAATCTCAGAAAGCCCTTTTGGATTCCCCTCACACGTGGCATTTTCCCAGTGGTTAAGTTCCAAAATGCTGAGCCTGGTAGTCAGAAAGTCAGAATAGGGGAACGGTGCTCACAACGTTCCGTTCGACTTAACTTCTCCGTAATCCAGCCCAGCGTGCCAAGCAAACAAACGGACGGAAAAGAAATCCCGTAATCGTTTTATATGTGACGTCAAGGAAACGCAAGAGGATGAGATCAAAAACCGAGGGAAGTGCGCCCCAAAAGAAACAAATGCGCTTTTCCCGCCAACCAATCAAAAGCAAGCTTTGCCCAAAGTATCTTTTACCTCATCAGATATTTGGGCTCCCTTGCTTTCCAAAAACCCATGCACATCTAATATCTTAATTTTTTATATGATACATCTAATATATTGATCTTATTTTTATGAAACATCTAGTATTTTAATGTTATTTTTTAATATCATTGAGTATAATAATTTTTAGATCAAGAATAATCTTAAAGTGTTAGATGCGCAAAAAAATTAAGGCCAAGATATTAGACGTGCTATACAAGGTGCTAAAAATATTTTTTAGTAATGGTTATGTTTGGGTTATGTTTTAATTTTCTCTCTGGTCAAGCTCAAAAAGACAAAGTGCTAATAAAAAGTTGAATTTTAAAAAGTGGGAGAAAATTAAGGAAGTTTTGGAGGAAACCCCAACAAGTGGACCTCAAAATGTGGAGGTTACAAGATAAGGAAAAATAGAATATATGTTGCATCACAAATAAACATAATCTCATGCTTAAGTTTTTTTTTTTTGGCTTTTTAATAAATCATGGTAAAAGGAAGAAGTGTGTGATACTAAAATATACTACCTCCGGTCTTAATTATAAGAGCTAGTTGATTAATTTGAGAAGATTAAGAAAATTAGTTAAGTTAGTTATTTATAATAAATAAGTATTGTTTTTCCTAAAATATCTTTGTTAATCAAGTTTATTGGCTAGAACTATTATTATTAGAGAGACTACATTGGGAAAAAATATATAAATATGAGAGACAAAGTAGATTAATGTTTTATAATTAGAATCAAAATAAAAATCAAATAAGACCTTATATTAAGAAGTAGTAGTAAAGTTTTATGTGATTGAACAAAAAATAAGTTGAAAATACTTAATCTTGACATAAGTCTTACTCATCCGATTCTTAATATAGGATCCAATTGTTGAGTCAGTTTTGGTCCTAAATATAAGACTCATTTTTCATATTTATCAATTTTTTTAAATTACCCCTATAGATACTCTCTCAACCATAATTAAGTAGAAGAGGAAGATGGGGTATTAAGAAAGATGATTATGGTATTTTAAGAAAAAAGTGTCACATTTCTTATAACTAATTAAGTTACCTAACTTTCTTAATCTAATTAAATTAATTAAATAAATTTTATATTAAAGATCGAAAGAGTGTTATATTGAGCCAAGTTATTTTAATAAAAAGATAAGCCTAACATATCCATAATTATTTAAAGCCAAGCCTAGCCGGTGGACTTTTTGTTCCAGAAAAAGACGTCTCATGTCATCAACACTTCGCCGTCAACGTCAATAATCATTAGCAAGAGAGTATGAAACTATGAATGCATGGACGTCGTAGTTTTAGATAATTATGGCTTTGGGATCCGTACAGAACGTCAGAACCCAAATAGCAGAATGGCAATTAAAAAAAAAAAGAACCTGGGCTTTAATATGAGGCCCATCTTATCAAAATCACCCTCTCTACCTGTGTCAGAGTGTGTGTGTGCGTGCGCGCGCGCTGCTCGCGAGAGAGAGGAAAATTGAAGGCCCACAAGAGGTGTTCTGAGAATCATGAGAACAGAACACAACCTTTTTATTTATTTATTTATTTTGCCTGAGAGAACAAAACAGAACTTTTATTGCCATGCTGGCTCTAACATAAGAACCAGTCTTTGTCAGGTTAAGTCAAACAGAAAGGGTTAGATTTTCACAATAGAGTAAACCAAGATTTAAATTTCTAGTAAAAAAGGTACCCACATTTAGTGTACTGGTCCATGTTGGAGATTGAAATTGGTCTTAAATATAAGATATTTATCCATTTTGTTTCTCAAATTTATAATATTTTCTCTAAAATATCCCTGTTGAGTTGTAGGGAATTCTCACCGAGAGATAATTTCAACACACATTATAAAAGAGGGTACTTTAGGAAAGTCAATTACAGTTAACTAACTTAACTAATTTTCTTAATCTTTAAAAAATTAGTTATCTAACTCGTATATTAAATAGTAAAACTAGTAATAAATATTACCTCCAATCCTTAATATAAATTCTAGTTGATTAATGATTTCTCTAAAATACTTATATATGTGTGTGTCTGGATTATATATCAATTTATAAACAAGGCAAATTAGTCTAAAAAATAATAAATACAATTACTTTAAAATAATTTAGTAATTTTTATAATTTTCATAAATTAGTCAGTTATTGGGTCTTATCTTATAAGCAACTGATATAGTAGTAAGGAAAGTCCTCCTTAGGGGCGGGACTATTAACATGGCAATTGGTTTTTTTTTTTTTTCCTAACGTATAGGTATCCTCTTATTGGAGGCAATCCTATTCAAGACACTGTTGGACACTAAATGTAGACATCTCTCCAAGCGAAGATTCAAACTTTGATTCATTATATTATAAGATATTAGCTCTTTTTACTAGAACTAACCTGTTGGTTAACACGGCAATTGGCTTGTTTTAATGTTACCAAATTAGCAACCTTCCGTTGAGTTGAGTCCAAAGTAAACAATCCAAATGCCTTTCGTGATTTGTCACTTAATTAACCAACATTCTTTCTGATCCATATATATGTTTCCATGCTTAAACAAGCAAGGTTGGTAGGGAGGTTGAGATCCAAATTGCCATTAGGTTGATCAGCTAAAAAGCTAGCATCCTTTTTTGCAAGCCATTATCACAACACTCAGCTTAATCCGACCTACTCATATTCCTTAAGGACTCAACTGAATGCTAAATCTCACTCACCTGTGACCTGTGAATAATCATGTACCAAATCCAAATTACCTTCAGTAATTAACCATGCCTGTTTCTTTTAATAAATGAGTTACGTAGTCTCAGCACTGCTTGGTATTGGTATGGCTATAAATTGAATGGTTGAACCAATTTAAAACAAGCGCTTGGACTTGGAGCCTTTGAACATTAAATGTTTCAGCAATTTGATCGTGATGAGCATTGATGTTACCCAATTCTTCTATGGACGTGGCACGTTCTTAACGATGATGATGCTGGCTACCAGCTGGGGATCTTCAAAATTTGAACTCAAATAAGCATCCCTCCAAACGCTGTTCCCAGCAAGCACACGACAATACGTATTTCGCCATCAAAACCAGCAAACCTCGCGTCGTTTTGCCCTGCCCTGTTTGGGCTTGCGTACCCCCCAGTTTGGCGCCAAACTCACGTTTCGGGGGCCATTGGTATCTTTGGTTTAACATCCATGTTTTGTTTTATTTAACCTCTTTTGTTCTTTTTGACCTGATCTTTAATATCAATGATGATTATACTTTTAATGTTATTCCATCTGAAGTTGGTATTTAATCCTATCATTCATATAACTCAGATGCATATTGAAAGAATATGCACACTGTGAAGAAGGACATTTTAATGTTATTCATCATAAAAAGTAGTTATTTTGATGTTTAAATCTAAGAGTTAGTCGTGGGGTTGTATTTGTATTCCGATTTATTTTGTTTTTTTTTTAAATTTTTTTAAAAATATTCTTATTAATTATAAGTGATTTCTACGAAGAAGAATTTAAATCATTTATTGCACATGATTGAAGATGATAGTTTAGGGATAGTAATATATATTTGGATTACAAATAACTAATTTAACTAAATTTTAAAGCATTTTAAAGTTAGTTTTTTTTTTATATTAAAAAGAAGAAGTAATACTAGTTATGTGATGAATGGAATTACTTTTCAATGTTGATAAATGTCGCATGCAATTAAAAATACTACTATAACTAGTTATTCAAGATCTGTGCTTTATATCAATGTACTATACGTTTAATAGATATTCCTAATTGCTGGCAAAAGAGGAAAAAAAAAACCAGTTTTTATTCTTAGAAGAAAGTGAAGTTTAAACTTGAAATTCAAACCCGTGACGGCGTGTCCGTCTCTTTCGGGCCTCGGCAGCTGCTTTGCTTTCGGGAGCAGTTTAAATTCAAAAGCCAGGAACCTGTAGGCGCCATTCGTTACCTCTGAACGTAAGAAGGGACAAAACCCCGGTGATGTTGCTGGAAATGTTACCTCTCAAACCTTTCGGTTCTTAACTACTTCTCTGAAATCTGTTCTGCCGTCACCTCCGGTAACTCCAGTTTCGCCTGAGTTGCAAGGAAATGGCTCCGTCTTCAGCTTCGGGTCATAGCCTCAAACAAAAAGTGTTCACTTGCCTCACCAAGCTCTCGGACCGCGATACGCAGTCCATCGCCGCCAATGAGCTCGAGTCCATTGCTCGGAACCTTGATTCAAACTCTGTGCCGGTGTTCCTCTCGTGCATTCACTCCACCAATTCATCAGACAAATCGCCGGTTCGTAAACAATGCGTACACCTCATGCAGGTTCTTTCCGAAACGCACGGAAACACACTCTCCCCTTATCTTTCCAAAATCCTTGCGCATATAGTTCGTCGTCTCCGGGACCCGGACTCGTCAGTTCGATCTGCTTGTGTGAATTCGGTGTCGGCATTGTCTGCGCACATCACCAAGCAACCGTTTGCTTCTTTCCTGAAGCCGTTAACTGAGGCTCTGTTCACTGAGCAGGACCAGAACTCACAGTTAGGTGCGGCGCTTTGTCTTGCTTCTGCCATTGATGCAGCTCCTGACCCGGACCCTGCGAGATTGGCGAAGCTCTTGCCGAGGGTCGAGAAGTTGTTGAGAAGCGGGAGCTTTAAGGCGAAGCCGGCGCTGTTGACGCTTATCGGAAGTGTTATTGAAGCCGGTGGACTCTCCGGTCATGCGGCTTTGAGCAATTTGGTTCCATGCATGGTGGAATTCTTGAGCAGCAACGACTGGTCGGCAAGGAAGGCTTCGGCCGAGACATTGACGAAGTTGGCAATAGTGGAGAGGGACGTGTTATCAGAATTCAAGGCTGGATGTTTGAATGTCTTTGAGAATCGACGATTCGACAAGGTTTCACTCCTTGAAAAAAAAAAAAAAAAAAGAATTTCAATCTTCCTCACCTGATCATGAGTTTATTTTCGTTTGTATATGGTAATTGGAAGTGAACTGAGTGATTATCTTGTTGGTTTAGGTTAAGGTAGTTCGGGAGGTTATGAATCAGATGTGTGAGGCGTGGAAGCAGATTCCTGATATATCGGATGGATTCTCTCCACCACCTAAATCACAATCTTCTTCCTCAGGTATTGTCACTTCTTTCTAGTTTACTCTTTGATGTTGCGATTGTGCCTTATAAAAAAAGGAAGGAAAAAAATTGTTTGCAGCTATTTGTTTAGCCACTGTCCACGACTGAGTCTGGTTCTATGCTCAATCTATTACGTGGCGTGTAATTATCTATGTCATCTTCTCTATCTGAGTTTTTGACTGTTGTTTTTGGGTTCAGAAAATGTAAGTGACGGGCGCTATCCGGCATTCTCACAGAATTCATGCAGTCCTGGTTCTGTAATGCCTCGATTGTGGAAGAAATCCAATCCGGCCAGCAGATCAAGCCCTGATAGTTCTTCTGTGAGCAATGCAAAGAAATTAAGCTTTAGTAATAAGAGGATGAGCTCAGGTGTGTTGCCAAAACTAAGCCATAAGAATCGGGATGTTCGAACTGCTGTGCCAAGTGCTCCCTCTCCTATAGGTGCTTATCAGGGTTATCTTGAAGAGAGAAATGAAATGATGCTGGAGAAAAACAAAAAGGAGAAAAGTCACTTTTCAAGGCCAGAACTGAAACGGCCTCTTCTCAGTAAAAATTCTGATGAAAAAAAGCGCACGTTTGGTCGCTCCAAAGCGGGATCCCGTGTAGCTCCATGTGATGAAGAGAGCCAAGATTCAGATGGCATCAGTAATGTCGCTAAAGATTTCCATAGGAATGACAAAGACTGTGATGAGTTGGCTTTAATCCGCAGCCAGTTATTTCAAATTGAAAAGCAACAGTCAAATCTACTTGATCTTCTAGAGGTTTGTTTCCAATATTGTAGCTCCAGATTCATTTGCAAAAATTTATGTCTTTAACCATAGCTTAGGCATGCAGATCTCCTGAGAGAAGCCTGGCTAATGCAGTTATTGTATTTGACCATCGCTTATGGCTGGCTAATACTTGAGCGCCTATTTCCCTTGCAATTTTTTTCGCTTCCTCCCTCCAATTCCATATATATATATATGTGTATATATATATTTTCCATGTCTTCCAATCCTTTAGACGATGAACATATATCTGAAAGCATCATTGATATTCATATTACAGAGATTCATGAATAGCTCACAAAATGGAATGCAATCATTAGAGTCTCGCGTACATGGCCTTGAATTATCCCTGGAAGGGCTTTCTCATGATTTGGCTTTATCAAATAGAAGGGTGATTTATTCTCATGCTCCCGGAGATTCTTGCTGCTTGCTGCCCGGTGCCGAGATCCTGAGCTCCAAATTGTGGAGGAAAACACAGGCCCCGTATCCATACTCCCAGTTCTCTAGATGTGATGTCAACCCATCACGGGCAGCCATGTGGCACAGAGCTCACACGAAGGGTGATGCTGAAACTGAGTTGACAAATCAAAAGATCAGGCTCCATGGCAATGGAGGATTCATCACAAATCCACTGGCAGAAGTTCATACTAGATTTGCAGATGCAAGACAGTGTGCGTGAAGAGAGCCAATGAATAACATCAGGTTCACTCTATATCTCCATCTTCCCTGTGGCCATCTCTAAATTGCCAACACACACAAGGCATTCGAAAGACTTGCGAGACTCGCACTTGTTGTTATTCTTTATCTTTGCAGTATAATTTCACACGCCCACCACCTAATGCTATCTATCTGTCTTCTTTTATCTTCATCCGGTCTTCTATCAGCTTAATGGCAGAAGGAAAGAGACCTTCCATCAACTTGTTGGAAGATCTCTTGATCGGGGAGGTGTGACAATGATCGGACCAGAACATTCAAATTTGGTTAATCTGCAATCGTCACTCTCAAATAAGGCGGAGAAGCTGAGTATTTTAGACGTCACGCATTCTAGTTCCAAGTGCAGAATTTCATTTGTCTCTCCATCATATTATTGGACATGTTTAGCGGACTGGAACAAGTCCACGGCTTGCTCTTTTTTGTTTGAGGTTAATTGCTACGTTGTATTCCAGTTGTGCCAAAGTTGACGATGATGCACCTCTAGAATGTAAGGTTTCTTTTCTGTATTAAGATTGGCGTCCTAAATTGTTGCAACTTGGGATGTTGTGACAAGATCCTCTTAGGCCATCCCATCCCACCTGCCTAATTCCTAGATTGTCATCTGGACATGAATATTAATAACTAACCAATGATTTGAAGTTTAACTTGGTTCTCAAGGAATGAATGAATATCAGGATTTTGGGCTAATGTGAAGTCTGAATCATCGGATTTCCATTTGTTCAGAGATTAGATGAATCATCTTATCCAAATACCAAATATAACTTAATTACATGCCGCGGGGGGAGTAGAAAAACAAATAAAAAAAATGGAAATAAATATAGCTCTTTATGGCTGTTTTCTCTGCAAGATTTTGAACCCTAAACTAATTTTCTGCAAGTTTCAGCACATATTAGACAAATTAACAACTCCAACCACATAGCGTCAATTGGGGGATCGTGTTCTGAACTCGTAACTACTTTGAAGCCAATTATGCGAAATATGAAGTCGGTTACATTCTTTACAATCTGTTTGCTGTAAACAGAATTTGTTCTTTGGGGTGAAAAAAAATGTTTTTTGTATGAAGACTAGATCATGCAAGTTAAGATAAAATTCTTTCAGTATGCTTACCTCGATATTTTATATTAATATTAATATATTCACTGTTGCTGTAAAATATTTTTATAGTAAAAATATTTATGAACATAATCGGTTTACTAATATTTCCACCCCCCTAACTCTTAAATCAGGACTTCCTAAACCCAAACCAAAACATATACCCAAATAAAAGGTCCATGTGAGAAAGTTATGCCGTTGGAGCCGAGTTCTATTTTTGTTTTTAGAACTCTATTTGTGGCAGGTTTCAATTACTTAGTGGGCGATAACTTAACCAGGCACGATTAAGTGTCAAAGAAAAACAGAACCCACTTCTTCCCTACTAGACAAAGAAAGGTGTGCGGGAAAACTGCCTGCATAGAGAAGAAGGGAGAAACTTCCATCATTAACAAAATAATTAATACATTTATAATATATTATATAAACTTATAACACGACAGAAACATTGGAACTCAACTTTTGTGATATGCATGTGATAATTATCGATATATCAAGATAATATCATATAAAACCCATATCGATATAACATCATCATTATTCATCAGTAAGACTCATGAGTAATATGATTCACTTTAGATTTTTATGTAATGCAATGGAATATATGTCAAGTTAACAAAATTTGTATTCCAATCATTGAAAGCTGGCCCTAGAAAGGACAGCAATAACATGTGTAATTTTAAGTTCCACAGAATATAATAATGCTACCCAATACCTAAAAATAGCTAAAACTGTTGGAAAAGAAGATATATAGTAATAATGTTTTATTAACACATCCCACAGCCCTTAAAAACACCAATTCCGGAAAGAATGGATCAGTGGACTGTGCTTTGAAAACTCTCTTGCTCAATCTGCTTGTAGCGATGGACCATCTAACATCTACTGCCACCATTTCTTTTCAGACAAAGATATGAGCTGCACAACAAACTTTAATATGTTAGGTTCTTTCCTCAAATTTAAGACAACCTTGGGCATCTTTTTTCAGCAACTAGTCCAACTTGCAGTGTCATTCATCATTGTAAAGCTTGAACAAGTGCACTTTCAAATAAACAATTCTACAATTAAAGCAAAGGTGAATATGCTATTCCTTGTTAATTTTTTAGCTTATTAAATTATTTCAAAGCCAGAAAAGCTGGTGTCCACATAATCCGGAATCTATCATAAATGTCCCTGGTTCCTGCTGTCATACATGTTAAATTCAGAACATTATACAATTGATTTAAAATTAAACAGCAGTATGATAAAAATTAATTCAAGCTCACAATTAAAATATCCAACAATGAGATAAAATTAATTTGATTCAATGTTTAATGACCGGACACATTTTCAATGGCAAGTAAAGCTGCAAAAAAAATAATTACATACAAATATTAACCAGACAAAAGTAGAGTTTAAATACAACAATAAAATGTCCCAAATCATGAGCTTTCTTAATTGAAACATATTACTACCTCCGGTTTTAATTATAAGATTTGGTTTGTAGACTATAAACAGAGTCTTATAATTAAGACCGGGGGTAGCATTTGTTTTGGAGGAATAGACAATCTGATAATTATAGTAAAAACAAGAGGAGACCGCAATATCAACATGGAACCCTCTGAAGTTGAAAGCGCAGAGGATATGATAAAGGACTACTTGGCCTGAAGTCAGAAACTTCCAGACAGGTCCCTGAAGCACGCACACACACACGTTCCCTTTTTTCTAATGTCCTGTTTCCATCTATATTAGGAACAATCAAAAGCAAGAGCTTGAAAAACTAAATATAAAAAGGTTAAGAAACTCCCAATAAGATTGACATGAAAAGGATGATTTCAACCCACCAGAACCAGAACCTACTGTTTGATTGGGCATAAAACAGGTTTAGATCTAAAGGAAGTGGCAGACGAAAATTGAGATTTCATGGACTAAACTTTGTAGGCATATTTTCAAAAATATGCCAAATAACGTTCACGGATCTCAAGAACAATGCTGGAGAGATATGCTCATGTACTAATAAAAACAGCTCAACATCTACACTGCCCACTTGATTCTTTCATACATGTAAATTTCTCTTTCCATTATCTAATTTGCTTGCTACAATAGTTTATCCCCCGTGGTTTGAACATAAATTAGTTTGCTCTCTAGTGGTTAAAATTATCTCATTCGATTTCCCTGTAGTTTGCTTTGTAACCACTTAAACACCATGTGGTATTCTTGTTTCTAATTTTAACCAAAAAAATTATGAAAGTTTAAACCGGCAAACAAATTCACAGTTACAGGTATGTTGTATCATAAAAAATTTCAGTCCTTGAAGACTAATAACAAGATGAAATTGACAGTTCAAAATTGAAACACACCTAAACTCATCAATGGCTTCAGAATTATTTATCACTTTTAACATTCAAGTGACTACTTTCATTAAAATTCCGATGTATAGTCTGGGGATCAGATAGTCATTGAACAAATCACATGGGTGTCAAATAATGCACCTTGAATCACAGCAGGAAAAGTTGATTTTGAGCCAAAGTACATGGAAGTAAAATATAATGAACCCTTACTCTTAAATGGTAAAAATCAACTATGGCTTACTCCTAACTACACAACTTTAAGCAAAGCTCATTCAATGTCATCATATCCCTTTTCACCTTTGGACCTCAAATAACTTCTATTAGGCTTAATCAATCTCTCAATTAAAGCAATAGCGTAATTCATAGTCACATAATTTGAAAAATGCACATGCAAGGATGGAGAAACATAAACACGTAAAGAGCAAAAGAGAAAAACAAGCACTCACAAATATATGACAAACCTGACGAGCAACTTGTGCTAAGCGCCGACTATCCCTAGATGATTCGGTGACTGTGCAAGAGTTGTGAGGCTCCATGTGACCACCCCTAGATGATTCAGTAATTGTGCAAGACTTGTGAGGCTCCATGTGATCATCCTTAGAAGATTTGGAAATTGTGCAAGATTTGTGAGGCTCCACGTGACCATTTTGCTTCTCTTGACACTGTTCTTTCAAAGTTCTCAAACAATCTCCATCAGAGCTGCTTAGAGACTCCCTCTTGCGTTTTCTTTGGAATGTGTAGATAAATCTATCATTGACAGATTGAGAAGAAGCCTTCTCATCTGAATCAGACACTTTTAGACTTAATGTATCAGATGGCTCATTAGCTTCCTCAACATCTGCTCTGCAAGTTGGAATCTCCAAACTTTCAGCAGACAAACCCTCTTGTCTGGTCAAGTCTGATTCATCCAAAAGTTCCTTATCATCCTTTATTTTCTTCCAAGCACTGCTAGCTTTAAGAAACACATCTTCCATTTCAGCATCCTTTTGTGATTCTGACTGCTCTGTCTTTGCAACTGTGTCAGTAGGTTCCTTAGATGAAGTAAACATATTCTTCAGAGCTTCACTTTCACATAACATGGAACAGTTCTCCATTGATGGATCATTATCATCATGTGGAGAATTTTTTGCGCAAGAAATATAAGATGCTTTATTTTCACTATCATTAATTCTCCTCTTTTTTTTGCATATTGGCACTTCAACTAATGTTTCCTCATTTACAGTATCATTTTTAGACACTGGCTTCTCTGTCACTGCAGTTAGATCATGAGATTTTTTTGTCTCCACGATCTGCTGCAAACATGATGTAGATTGAACCAACTCGCTTTTCTGTTTTGTTTCTTTGTTTCTGCAAAATGACACTTCAACTAATGCCTCCTCTTTTACAGTGTCATTTGGAGTGACTGACTCCTCAGTCACAGCAGTTGTGTCATGGGTTTTATTTATTTCCATGACCTGCTGTGAACATGATCTAGATTGAGCAACCTTCCTTTCCGGTTTGGTTTCCTTGTTTCTGCAAAATGACACTTTGACATGATCGGCATCTGCATCTGCCACTGTGAGTTCACCTGGTTTCTCAACTTCACGAATATTATCAGTTTCAGAATTGTTTGTCACAGAAATCACTTCACCTTCATCTGCTCTAACTATTGCTTCATTCTGTACATCATCCGCATTTCCTGAATGAGAAATATTTCCATCATACAGGCTCCTCTCAAATGCTCGTATTCTGTGAGTGCAACCATTTCTGTAGAGCTCAGGCTCCTTCCTCCTAATGACTATGGAAGCGAAATCAGGGTTATGAATGTAACAACACTTTTTACGATCATGTGACACACAGCACATGCTGCTCTCCTTTGTCCCATTTAGAGCTGAATTTCTAGCGTCGAAAGTTGCAGCAGATTCAAACTGTGAAACCGGGACGGAATATATTGATTCATAAGCATAAAGTCTGTTCTGTAATTGTTTTTCCTCGGCTCCATTTTCATCTTCTACGTTTTGTTCAACTATGGAATGAATCTGGTTGATTCTTGCCTTCTCCAGTTCAGCCTGCGCTTCTCTTAACTCTTCCCTCAGGTCTCTAACTATTTCCTCAGCTTCTTGGAGCTGTGCTTCAAGCTCCTCAATTTTCTTCTGCTGACTCGAGGATGTCATCTCAGCTTCATTAACCTATGAATTAGCCACATGTTAAAACACAACAGGAAATAAAGACAATGTTCAAAATGATTTAACTCACGTACATCCCCCTCCCAGCTCAAAATGGGACAAGAATGCTCTCAATGCTGAGGGCTTATTTAGAAGATATTAAAAAAGACAGTGCAGAGATCAGTTGAAATTGGGAACCAACATTCATTTAAAAACACAAATATAAGATTCCCCAGGCCACCTCTTGAATAAACCTACAACGTAAGAGAGTTTAACACAAGAAAATGAAAAATGAAACATGCCAACAATTATATCACGTCTATGGATTCAATTTCTTCCTCGTTAATCTGAAAGTTAAAACGCATTTTCAGCATTCCTCAAATAGGTACCATATGAAGGCTACAAAGTCATGGACATTGGACAGGTAGAGAATTCTGATAGAGTTAGCTGTTTTATCTGACAGTGAATCAGAAGCAAATAACATGCCTTCTCAAATTTATGTTGATTGCATTCCTGTAATGACCATTAAAAGCTTCATATGAAAATTAAACCTTTAATGCAAGCTATTCCTTATTAGTTATTACTGTTCATGATAGCTCTTGTAAGCATAATCAGACGGCCAGAGTGTGAGTTTACTGAAGTCCCTAGTTCACTGATAAAACAAAGTAGGAGACAAGTTAGAGATGAAATTAATGGACGGACAAGTTAAACTTACATAACATTCTCACTCACGCATAATCATTGCAAGGTAACCCACATTTTAAGCAATCACAATGTGATTAACAATTCAGTGAAAAAATTATCAGCCTTCACCATCCAAATTCTGCCAAGCCATCTTTTTTTTTTCCCCTGACTTAGTGATTATCATCGCTTGAACTTGAGTGGAAGTTTCATTTTTCAGTCTTACAAAAGAAAACAAAAAAAATCCAAGCAATGAACCAATAGCACCAGAACTAACCCCACGAAATGGAAAGATCATATTTTCAGAATCAAGAAAGAACTCAAACCAAAACCAATTCACAGAAATAGGTAGAGGAAACACCAGCCAAGTCAATACCATTTAAGGATCATGATTATACCTTAGAATCCAACATTTGTTTGAGCCTGAGAAGCATCCGAAGCGCTTCCTCTTTAGTCGAAACAAGCTCCCGCTGAAACCTCATAGCTCTTCTCTCGGATGACATGATACGCGCCGCCGCTTCCTTTGCCGTATTGAGGATTATATCGGCGTAGGCCTTCTTCAACGCCGTCAATTTCTGTTAAAAACGACAAAACAACCTTCATCAAAATAAACCCACCTTCCAAAACTCACACAACACCCAACAGAGAACACTAGAGAATATCAAAGACGATCTCCATTCAGAAAATTTCCAGTAGATTTTGCCCGAAGAAGAAATAAGAAAAGAAAAGAAAAAAGAAAGACTTGTTCATTCTGAAAGAAGTAAACGGGAAGAGAAACCTTATACCTCGGAATCCTCCATTATTGACTAATGCATAAAGAAGGGGTAGTTGATAGTTGTGGGTTCCTGAGAAAGAGAAAGAAAGTTCTTGTTTTTCTATTGCGCTTGGAAGCAATGAGCAATAGCAGGAGAGGAGCAGCTGTGTCTGTTAGGAACTGAAAGCACCCCCACCTCGTATGACCAGAATGCCCTAGTGCTTCATCTCGTTATTACGAAACTACCACGTCAGAAGACAAACCGGGTAACTCCGGCGCGGTCGAGAGAAGGTGGCCCACCGGAGCTGACGTGGATGAGTGCGAGGTATAAACGTGGACGTTTCGGTGTTAACCGTTTAAAAATTAAAATAATTTAAAAAAAAAAAAAGGAATTGCGTTGGGAAGCGTGGCATGACGGTTGATTGAGCAGTGGTTCTTCCTGCTGAGGGCTAAAGCCAAGAACAGCCCCCTTAGCCCTTCCCCTCTTCCTTTGTCACTGGTCGTGAAACCGACAAACGATCCTTCACTCGCTCTTCTCTCTTTCCTCTGTCCAGCGAAATCCTCCTTCTTCGATCCCCCGCATGATTCTTATCCTAACTGTTTCAACGTTCTTAATAAAATTAACATCTTTCTCGTATGGGTCTAAACTCCCTGTTCATGTGATGCTTAGGATCTATTTTGGGCGATTGCTTTCACACTAGGCAAGCTTATTTGATCATGTTAATCAGTAAATTGAACTGAAAAAAGTAATCTTTATAAAAGAACTACATGCCGTGTTCATGAAAAATTAAAGGATGAAAACACGGAGATTAATGAGAGGTCATTCCAACAAAAGTCAAACCCTTTTTTGGTCAATAAGGAGTCCAACCTTACAACAAAAAATGTTTTATCATTTTTTTCTTGTTATTTATAAATATTTCATCATCAAGCAAACATCTCGGAACATTCTCATGTATCAATCCCTTACGTTAAATTTTCCTTATTTAACGAGAGAGAGAGAGATTACACGAAGGGGGGGAGAGAGAGAGGCAGAGTCTTCTCCCGCTTAACCATGCTTGTTTGAAAATCCGTTAGTGCACATGATTCATACCCGAACCCAACATACAAGTTAGTACCGATCCCCTACGCTGGCCCATTTGCCCATTCTTACGGGCTCAAACTTTTCCGGGTAAGTAACATGATTGGTCAACCCATATATATGCCTGCCCCGTTCGACCGTTATCCGCAAAAAACAAACACGTGGCCTTCTCTCGAGTCAGCTTTCATAATCATCGCCTGCTCTTTACCCCATCTTCTTCCACCTCCTCCTGAGAATTCCGCTGAACGAACCTTACAGATTTAGTTCCGCTTCATTCTTCGCGCTAGTTTTCAACTCACCGTCTGTGTGTCGAGCTGGATTCGCTGCCAACATCTTTTTTATCGTTATATTTTTTTTTTTCCCAAACAAGTTCGCCCTCAAGATTCGACGAGAAGCTGAAGTAATCACTTGAAAAACAAGAAGGATTTCTTCTCAATATTGCCGACCTGGTAATGTTTACTCTATAGCACTACTTACAAGTATCTTGTTAAAGCTCATGCGAAGTGGTTGTGAAAAATGTCCATTTCGCCTTCACTCTCTGTACCCAATCCTTCGCCTTTCTCCACCAGGCAAGTCAAACCCTACCATAACTTTCACAAATTCTCTTTCATATCTAAAACCCAAGGCTTTCTATTCCATCGGGGATTCTTCTCCGGCGACCGGATATTACAACTTGAACCCTTAAAGGCCAGAGCCAAGACCAGGGAGCTAGTCCTTGGTAACCCCTCGGTGACGGTGGAGAAAGGAAAGTACAGCTACGACGTTGAAACGTTAATCAACAAGCTCAGTAGCCTGCCTCCCCGAGGCAGCATTGCTCGGTGTCTAGATTCCTTTAAGAATAAACTCTCCTTGAACGATTTTGCGTTGGTATTTAAGGAGTTCGCACAGCGCGGCGACTGGCAACGTTCGCTGCGTCTTTTCAAGTATATGCAGCGCCAGATATGGTGTAAGCCCAACGAACACATCTACACCATTATGATTACTTTGTTGGGCAGGGAAGGCTTGCTTGATAAGTGCAGCGAGATATTCGACGAGATGCCTAGCCAAGGGGTGCCCCGGAGCGTGTTCTCTTACACGGCGGTTATCAATGCCTACGGTCGAAACGGTCAGTATCAGACTTCGCTCGAGCTTCTTGATAGAATGAAAAAGGAGAGGGTTTCACCGAGCATATTGACATACAACACTGTCATAAATGCTTGTGCTAGGGGTGGGTTGGATTGGGAGGGTTTATTGGGGTTGTTTGCTGAAATGCGGCATGAAGGGATACAGCCGGATGTTGTTACTTATAATACCTTGCTTAGTGCCTGTGCTAATAGGGGCCTAGGTGATGAAGCTGAAATGGTGTTTAGAACCATGAATGAAGGTGGGATAGTTCCTGATATAACAACGTACAGTTATCTTGTTGAGACATTTGGGAAATTGAATAAACTCGAGAAGGTTTCAGAGCTTCTTAGAGAAATGGAATCTGGGGGTAATTTGCCAGATGCAACATCTTATAATGTGCTATTAGAAGCTTATGCACGGTCAGGTTCTATCAAAGAGGCAATGGGCGTGTTTAGGCAGATGCAGGGAGCAGGTTGTGTGCCAAATGCAGCAACGTATAGTACTCTATTGAATTTGTATGGAAGGCATGGGAGGTATGATGATGTTCGTGACCTTTTCCTCGAAATGAAAGTGAGCAACACAGACCCAGATGCCAGCACTTATAACATCCTCATTCAGGTCTTTGGGGAGGGTGGATATTTTAAGGAGGTGGTTACTTTGTTTCATGATATGGTAGAGGAGAATATTGAACCAAATATGGAGACTTATGAGGGTTTGATATTTGCTTGTGGAAAGGGAGGGCTTTATGAAGATGCCAAGAAGATTCTACTTCATATGAACGAGAAGGGAATAGTGCCAAGTTCTAAGGCTTACACCGGGGTAATTGAAGCATATGGACAAGCTGCACTATATGAAGAGGCTCTAGTTGCATTTAACACTATGAATGAAGTGGGAAACAGACCAACTATTGAAACCTACAACTCACTAATTCATACATTTGCAAAGGGGGGACTGTACAAGGAATCAGAAGCAATTTTATCGAGGATGGGTGAGTCTGGTGTACCACGTGATGTGCATTCATTCAATGGTTTGGTTGAGGCTTTCAGGCAAGGAGGTCGGTATGAAGAAGCTGTGAAAGCTTATGTTGAGATGGAAAAAGCGAACTGTGATCCTAATGAGGTGACACTTGAAGCTGTTTTGAGTGTATACAGCTCTGCAGGTCTTGTTGATGAGAGTGAGGAACACTTTCAAGAAATTAAAGCTTCAGGAATACTGCCCAGTGTCACTTGCTACTGTATGATGTTAGCTCTCTATGCAAAGAATGAAAGGTCAGTGTTCATTTAGTTATTTTACATTATTTTTCTCTTGTCTTAAAGATATTAATGTTCTTCTTTGATGCTCAAATTTGAAATTATAGCACCAAACAATGACAGAAGGCAGTTTCCATGATTAAGAATTTGACAATGATCAATTAAACTTCGCATAAGATAAGTTAAGTGGCACATACTTGAGTAAACTAATGATATGCAAGGTGTTTGCACCTAAACGTGTGCAATTTATCTGTGACATTGGAAAAGGAAAGAATTAAAGAAAGCATTTATATAAAACAGTTTCGGGGCCTGCACTGATTATCTGTTTCACTGATAGTGAATTCTGAACTCAGTCGGCAGAGCTGGTGCCTGTAAAAATATGGCATTGGAGAAATTCGCTTGAAATGTGATTTGAATCTGAACTCAAAACGGATGATTGTTCTCTTGGCTTTGTCGTCCAGTATGTTGGGTTTCAAGAAGTTTGTTTGATGATTAACAGCATTTGGTGTTCCAACAGTGATAGGGTATTTGAGAATACATTTGACATTAAGATAAATCAATTATGGATTGTTTTGTATATTGATTTAATCACATGTTATGCTCTTGCTTTTTTATTCTTCCAATTGGAACTCTCTCTTTTTAATTTTGCCTCTTTGTACTTGCTATTTGGTTCTTTTGTATTGGTCAGTAATGGCCAAACTCAACGTGCACACTAAATTTAAATTTGATGTTGGGCATTTTACTTCTAACTGAACTATGGAGCTCGTGCTTTGTATGCGTATAATATAAGTTGTATTGTTCATACCTTATGAACAATGTGGCTTTCTATAGATTTTATATTAAACAGTCATTATATGGATAATTAATCTATCTTGGCTATTTAATCTTACCTTTCCGGCTTGTTGCTTCCAGGTTGAATGATGCCTATGGTCTGCTTGAAGATATGATCACTATGAGGGGATCAGATATCCATCAAGTGATTGGCCAAATGATCAAGGGAGATTATGATGATGACTCTAATTGGCAGATTGTAGAGTATGTCTTGGACAGACTTAACTCTGAAGGATGTGGATTGGGAATGAGGCTTTATAATACACTTTTAGAAGCTCTATGGTGGCTGGGCCAGAGAGAAAGGGCAGGAAGAGTGCTCAATGAAGCATCAAAACGAGGGCTGTTCCCTGAACTTTTCCGTAAAAGCAAACTAGTGTGGTCTGTGGATGTACACAGGTATAATGGGAAACTATTCTTCCTGAAATTTGTACTTTTTATTGAACTTACTTAATACCTGAAGCTTGACTTTCTTGCAGGATGTGGGAAGGAGGTGCGTTAACAGCACTATCAATTTGGTTGAATGATATGCAGGATATGTTCAGGAGTGGCGAGGATCTGCCTCAGCTTGCAACAGTTGTTGTGGTGTAAGTTGCTTTTAAGACTAAACTTGTTCATTTGCTTTCTTTCATTTTCTACAAAACATGCCAGGGTTCACATAAACATTAATGAGAAGAGGCGTGGCAAGTATAACTGTTGTGCTCAATACCATAATGACATTTTCTGCCATGTTCCGCTGAATTGATTTCCAATAGAAAACTATGCTTGAGTTGTTTGTGTTAACCAAGTCTAGCCTTAAATAAGAAACGGTAGTTTCATATCCATTCAACCATAATACAATAAAATGGCATCACTGCATGGGTCTCGCTACTTTTCATTCCTATGATGTCCTTGCTTGCGTTGATCGATGGATATATGAATCACTGCCATTATTCAGTCACCTTGTTTTATTTGGGGTCAGTCCCAGAGTTGGTCTGCCTCACCAACATGAAACGCACACAACTTCTTATGGCAAGGTTATAGTAATGGCCAGAGAAATGAAGTTTAGCAAGGGTTACATTTGGAAAAATCCTCCATGCTCCCCATGTTTCGGTGATGAAAACTCAATCATTGAGCAAAGTTAATAAATATGATTGTCTGAAACAATGATTTGTTTTTTAATGGTTAAATCTGTGGTGTCAACTGTTAGGGTTAACAGTGCTGCAGATTATTGGATGTGCATTTGATCTGCCAGTATTATTTATAGATGGATTTGATCAACATAGATCCTCCAATCAACTTTATTGATGCTAGATGTGTTTTCTTTTGTTCTGTTTAATAGTATACTTTTGCATTGCATTGGTCTGCATATCCTTTTTACTATTGAGGAGAAAAATAAACGTTTCTTTTAGTGTCATCTGATTTGTTTATCGGCGAGCATGCTAACATGGCCACATATTCTTATTTGATCAGTAGGGGCCAAATGGAGCAAAGCGCAGTTGCCCAAGATTATCCTATTGCAAAGACTGCCTTTTCATTCCTGCAGGAGATTTCATCCTCCTTAACATTTGCTGGATGGAACAAAGGTCGAATTGTCTGCCAGCAGTCACAGCTGCGGCGAATTCTGTCGGGCAGTGAATCATCTTCAAAAAAGGCCAAGAAAGATAAATTAATTACTCTAAATAACTCTCCCTTGACTCTTCCAGGAGGAAGAACTTCCAAATCGGGTGTGCAGGCTGGTAAAGTTAATACTTTTGATTCTAGAACAGAAACTAGTACAAGAACTGAGCTTCTCGCTGGTGCAGTTTAAAGAAATAGAGACATACATTCATTGCTTTCCAATCCATGCGCAATTATGTTTGACTGTAAATGAAGATTAGGGCACATATTTGTTAAATTAATGTTCCTAAGCAGGCTGTCTTTCAGCCTGCCAAAATTTTGGTATATAAAATTTTCAAGGTACCTGAGCAAAGTTCAGTGAGATATGAGCACCAGTCTTCACGAGTTTATTGATTTCCTGCATTGGATGCACCTTGATAGGAATTTTTTAACCATATACTCATTTGTTTAATTTATATGCAATTTTATATAACCGCAATGTTTGAACGAATTCTTGAACATATTTAACAAACTCCGAAGCTGGTAAAGAACAGAGGAATCAGAAATTGAAACTGTTCTTCGTAGTTCACTAGCTAGCATCCATCACTTCAAAAATCTGCCAAGGATGGTTTGTGACAGCTTGCATTACTCCTGAGGACCACCCGCGAATCCTATAATGAGGTTAGAATAATACTTATTCCTAAATTATTGGAGGGCAAACATAAGCAATTTACAAGTGGCTTGCCGGCGTAGCTTGTAATCTAATTGCATGCTTTTTGTAACCCTATCAAATTGAGGTGCCGATTCTGGCTGATTTGTAAGATATCCATAATTTACTCATAACGGGTTTATAAAATTACGGAGACCGTAGGATTTGGCGGGGATGCAAGATATTTCTTTAGTGCGGCCAATATATTATATTTGTGATTTGTGAAGCAATTCTATCACCAGTTGAATGAAACAGATAGAGGATGGGAAATGAAGTTGTGTTTTGAAATTATTTCATTTGGTAGTAAGTTAAATAAAAATAAAATCATGAGGCTTAGCATAGTTGACATTTAACTGAGTTCTTTAAGCATCTATTAGGGGTTCAATTCTTGACAATATGTATGGAAAGGGTCTTGTGACTAGTATTAAAATTTCTTTGAAAAGTCTATGGTACGAGGAGATTAGTCATTGCTACCGGCAGTGAATATCCAAAGCTCAACCAAAAAGTTAAATAAAAATGAAGAATAAATATTATGATTATCAAATTATGATATTTATGGCACTTTCTTTTGGGTGACCTATGATATACTTATCTGGTTCTATTTACAAGTCACTTTCAACATGTTTTATATATATTAAGAAAAACCTTAAATTTCATTAACTATCATTTAAAATTCAACAACTTTCTAACTTTATCCTTATTTAATATATATTATACCTTATATAAACAAGATCAACACAATAAAACAATAAGAGATAAAATTATATATTTATATCAAAAATTTTCTTTGTGTCCTATAAATAAGAGTAAAAAATACATTCTCTTTGCATGTTATATAAATAGGATCAGAAGAGTATTACTTTTACCCTAATATTAAAGAAATAATATCGATTAGCATTAACTGCATTGATTTTCATCATTGGAACATACTGTTAGATTAAGATATTTATAATTGAGGACATATGCGTCACTGATGTGCACAAGGAATAATCAGTCTGAAACTGACGTAGCTGTCATTAACCCACTTTTACAGGCTTTCGGCTATCTTTAACTTATTTAATTCAAACCCTTTAAGAGAAACAAAAGGAGCTAAAGCTACTGCAAAAGTTGCAACTTCAAATTACTTGTAGACGAAAAGGGGGCTAAAAAATAGTAAAGCTTGAACGTGTAAATAGCGGTATGGCAAATTTAGAACGCCATCTATATATCTAACCCCCTTTTCACTTTTACTCCTTCCCTTAACCCCAATCATCCCATTTCCCATCACCAACAATGCGTTGCTCAATGCTTTTTTTTTTTCTTGTGAAGAGACATTCATATAGATTTCGGATTTTTTTTTTAACAAGTTTGAATTATAATCATCTAACACCATGTGGCCAACTTTATTTAGTGGGATAACGCCAACCATAACAATAACATAGTGACATTGAACTAGACTTTTTGAATTCATATAGTTGCTCACAGCAAAAATAAAAGTTGCTCTGCAATACTTGGTTCAGAAGCAAATGTAGTAAATTCTGCAATCTGTATGGCATAAAAAAACACATAACGTGAACACTTTCCTCTGTTGCCTTTTGCGTTCAGAGGCCGCCCATGTTTGCATTTAATGGCAAGGTGTGGTCAAATATTCTCAATTTCTTTGAAGCTAAGGAATGACTTTTGAGTTCACACAAGATTCCATCCATCTGCCACTTTTACTATTTATATAAGTGGAGGGTTCATCTTTATAGATGCAGATAGCAGTAAGAAAAGAAAACAAGCTAAATAATGCAATTGCAAAGCCGCCTTCAAAAAGGAAGGAGGGGTGCTTTTAGGCCAATGGTTTGAGTTTGAGTGAGAGATTATTACTATTAGTGATTGAAGTTGATGTTTGTTTTTTTTTAACAAGAAAAGCAGAAAGTTGGTGAGGTTCCACGCACACAATGGCCATTCAAAGAGGGAAAAAGTCATTAGAAAACTTCACTTTTTATAGGATTCATTGACAATCCTAAATCGTTGGCTTAGACTCTTCCTTTAATCTGGACGTCTTTTGTTTTATGATTCATTTAACACCACAATTCCCGGTACGGAAGGATAAAAGTACGAGAGATTTTTAGTTAATTAGTGGCTATTCAATTCCTAGTTACCTGCCATTAAAAAGGGTGAGCTAAGAAGAGAAAACAAATGAGCTAGGAGTAAAGAAGACATATCAGAGAATAAAAGAGCTCAGGGCAAAATCCCATTTTGGGACTTGAACAGTATAACATGCAAGTCCTGGTACTACAATTAATGTAGCACATTCAAGTTCCTGACCAAGGCTAGTTCTATTTTGGGACCCTAAACAGGGTAGCAAACACAAGTCCCTGATGCGGCAACCAAAGTATGCAGATTTAGGAGCTTCCAACAAGGTTTTTTTCATATAGGTCTCAAAACTTGACTTTAGCACTTGTTAAGAAATAGGTGTGAAGAATGAAACTGAAATGAGGAAACAAATTAAGAAATAGGTGTGAAGAATGAAAATGAAATGAGGAAACAAACAGGCGGGAGCAGGAGAAAAATCGTTGTATTTTAAGTCAAGACTTCAAAGTTCGAGTTTATAAGTTATTCATTATACTCTTCCAACCTTTAATATAGGACCCAATTCTTGAATTGATTTTGATCCTAAATATAAGGCTCATTTATCATATTTATTAATTTTCTCTAAATTACCTCTATGGATACTCCCTCAACAATAATCAAGTAGAAGAGGGAGATGAAGTATTAAGATAGATGATTATGTTGTTTTAGGAAAAATGTGTCACTTTTCTTATAATTAACTAACTTACCTAACTTCCTTAATCTAATCAAATTAGTTAAATGGGTCTTATATTAAGAACCAAAGGAGTATTATACTACCCCCGATCCTAACTATAAAAGCTAGTTGACTAATTTGAGGGGATTAAGGAAAGAAGTTAAGTTAGTTATTTGTAATAAATATGTGTTGTCTTTCCTAAAATATCCTTGCTAATTAAGTGTATTGGCTATAACTACTATTAATAGGAGGATTATCTTGGAAAAAAATGCATAAATATGAGAAACAGAGTGAATTGAAGTCTTATATTTAGGACCAAAATAAAAGTTAAACAAGGTTTTATATCAAGGACCGGAAGTAGTATATTACTCCTTCCAATCTTATATATAAGCTTCATTTTTTAAGAGATGTCTGGTCTAAAATATAAGTTTTGTTTTTTAGTTTGTCTGAGTATTTATTACTTTTTTTTTATTTTGCTCTTAGTTGACTGTGTTTAGTACTTTTCTTTCTCATTAATATTATCTCCACATATTATCTTTCATCATTTTTTTCATTTATTGTTTCTCTCATTTATTCTATTAATAAATGAGGGCAAATTGGAAAATAAAATACATTTCTGACCTATTTATTATTTTTAAATGATTTTAACTGCTAGCTCATTGAACATGATCGGTTATTCGAAGTTTTTATATAGGTGTCCTTTAAAAAAAAAAAAAAACTGGAACATAGGAGTACTTATTAAACTCAACTTTTTCTCAACTTTGTTTGATGTAGAAACTTAAGTCAATAACGTAACACCTATATATATATATATATATATATATGGTGTAGAAGAAGATTAATTTGCAAAGGTAGCCGTGGAGGAATCAATGTTAGTATAAGAAAATTAATCTAATCAAACAGACACGGCGGAAAAAGCGAAGAAGCTTGGATGGTTTATAAAACAAGGGAATGGAAAAAGCAAAGAAGAGATGATGGAACCCCACAAAGTCTTATCTCAGCCTTATCCTCCATTCCCATTATCATCCCACCACTAAAGCCAACCATTCATTCATCCATCCATCAATAATGTACATTAAAAAAAAAAAAAAAGGTTCTCATGTCTCCTGATATAAACCCTTTCTTTTCCCAAAAAAAAAGCCCCATTAAATAAAGGAAAAATCTTCTCAGTGGGCTTATTAAATATACATTTAAATCAACAGTTGTTTGTCAGGCCAAAAAAAAAAATCAACAGTTCTTTGGGAAAAAATAAGTGTTTCAAATGATAAGATCTGCCTTTTTAATTTTTCATATTGTAACTGATAGCTAATACTTTTTTATATAAATTTAATACACGATATTATCGAGCCAGATTTTAACATTATCATATCTATGTTTCAAATCATAATATCTATTTTTTTCTCCACAAGATTTAGTATCTGCTACTACCGGATCGAATCATAGCGTTTCAAATGATAAGATCTACTTTTTTTTTTTTTCAACACAATATTTGATATCTAGTACTGTTGGATTGAACTCTAACATTGTCATGTCCCAAATTATCAAAGCTATTTTGTATAATCACGCATAGTATCTTATGCATGGTACTATTATGTGAGGTTTAAGCATTATCAATTTTATTATTCTAAAATTTCTTTTTTTAGATTTATATGGACTTAAATCAAATTTCATAACCTTTTCATTAGAATCAACCTCTGTTAATAAAAGATAAGATCTACTTGCGCAGATTTTAATAAACTTTTATTATGTTTTTGTGCTTGCTAGATTTCAATTTTAAGCACAGCGACAGGTTTTTAGAGGCTTTTTTTTTTTGCTGTGTTTCAAGTTATATTCAACTCTAACTAATTTGAATTAATTTTTTTTTTGCTAAAGCATAAGCATCTTCTTATTGGAGGCAATCATATTCGAGACACTGTCGGGCACTAAATGTGAGCACCTCTCCTAGCAGGAATTCAAACCTTAGTTCACCACGTTGTATGAGACTAACCCCTTCCACTAAATCCAATTCCCGTTGGTTAATTTGAATTTGAATTAAATTTAACCACATAACTAATCGTACATATTTTTTGTTTATATAACTTTTTGAGGAAAATAGGCGTCAAATTAAAGACAATTTTTAATAGCGCTAAATTAAAAGTTGATTCATACAACTTTTTCGACAAAGGATCCGAGAAAAATAAAAATATGCATCTTGTAAATATATTCTTATTTAAATATTTTATTTTTTAAATGAAATAAACCAGAATTCTATGATAAACATTTAAAAATGACCACAAAAATTTTAAAATTTGAATAATACCTACATATCATTTAAATACAATATAAATTACTTGCTCTTCTGCTGCTAATTATATTGGAGGAGCCAATTCTTTGTCATAGATTTCAATATTAAAATAAAATGTAATGTGCTTTGGTAAGAAATATGGATATTTACAATTAAAAAGCTTTAAGAAAGTGTTTTGGTATTTACAGGGAACTTCTTAAGTACGTGAGTCGAATTTTTTAATTAATGGGCTGACGTGTCCTTGACTAATAGCGCACATATATTATTATCCCAATGATACACACTACATGACATTTTAGATTTTTTAATATTTGGCAATTTTATTAAACAATTAATGAAGTCCTTTTCAATATGCTCACAACTTCTTTTTTTCTAAAAAAGAAAATCCATATCCATATACCTATTAAATTATGAATATTGTGATTTATTCACTGTGATGCATGAGCTCTACCATCTACTTTTATATTGCTTGCATGAACTAAAAAAATATTTATAAACATATATATATTCACTTTAGTTGAATAATAGGGCACATTGATGAAAAAATTTCCCATTATAAAATTTGTTGTTCAAAAGTAAGTGAAATCTATTTAAGAACTTGGATGCCACCTATATTAAACTATATTCAATAAGTGTAAATTTCTTCAAATGTGTAACATATTTCCAAACACGTATGCATATAATTAAAGATATATTGCACAGAGTTTATTAGAGTTGTGTCGCTCAAGAATTTGGATTCTCAGATACTCAGTGAATATTGTAATAAGAGGTTTTTTTTTGCAATTTTTTTTAAAAAAATTATTAGTTTGTGTATACATATAGAGAAGGGAAAGCACATAGATTAGCTGGTTTACAACTAACACTTTCATAAACGGAGGGCTCACAAATAATCTAATTTTAACTGCAACTGCAACTCGTACTATTCTAATATTAAACTCAAAGTGCTCATCAGATTGGTTTTATTTAATAATAATCCTGTTTGTGCGCAGATAATGTCAAATCGGAGTTAACGTAAAAATGTTTATTTTAAAAAAATATTTTGATATAACTAGTGCTAATTTTTAATCCTTAACAAAAGAATCATAATTATTGAAAACGATTTAACAATAAATTTACAAAATTTAGACTGTTTGATGGATTTTTTTTCCCTAGATTAAACCAAGTTAATCTTAAAAAATAATATTTACACCACAGTGTTGATGCATGCATGTGAGCGTCTAAAGCCTCTGAGAAAAAAAGCTGGTGATAGCCCATGTGTTGGTGATTACACTAAATATTAAAATAAAGAAAAAAAATTAATAATAATGGAGGGTCATCTGAACTTGTCTGCTTAATCTTCATTATTTTTATTATTTGGTCAAAATATTAATTTCCACTTGTCAGTCTTTGGATTCCACTTTGGAGGGTTAAGATTAAGCATTTCTCTTAATCATTTTTTAATTTTACTTGTTTTGGGTTTTATTATGAAGCTCACAGTACAAGTTGTTTGACTCTTGATCGATGGTAATTGGACTTTTATTTTTTAATTACCAAATTGTTGTCATGGTGGATCCCATATCATCTTCACGTAGGCCATTAAAAAAATATGTAATCAGTTTTATAATTATATAATTATCTTATAATACATACCCACACGCACACAGAAATTCATTAGTCATTGACGTAATTATCAGCAATTGCTGAGAAACAGTCGGCAAAAAAAAAAAAAGGCAATTGTTGAGAAATAAATCAACAATTCTCAATTACTATCAAGTGATTTGAACAATATTATTATTGTTGTTGTTTTACGCCATGACTAGGGAGAATTATAGAGTTTTTTTTTTAACCAAATAGTGAATAATTAAAATTAAAAATCTTAATAATTTATTTGTCTCTATGTAGCCAGTCGTATAGATTTGGAACGTCTGCGGCAACTTTTTACAGTGTGTCTATTTTTTTCTTACACAGAGTCGCTTTACAATTTTTTTTTAAAATGAAGAAAATACCCTCCCTATTAACCTATTTATATGTTAAAAAAAGTGGACAAGGCACATGAAAAGGTGTTGCAGGACATTTGTGAAGATGTACTGAGACCTTGAATTTCTTTTTTTTTTTGGCAACCTGTTGAACATTTTCTGAAAAAGAAGAAGAAGGAAACTTTTTTCTAAAAATCGCAGATGTCCTAAAACTATTATGATTTAAAATAATAAAAAGTAATAATATTTGGAAAAATTTAGCATATACTGTTATTAACTTAGACTACTTCCAGTCCTTAATATAAAAACTAGTTGACTAATTTGAGTAGAATAAGAAAATTAGTTAAATTAGTCATTTGTAATAAATATTTTTTTTTAAAAATACCTTTATTAATAATGTGTATAAGCGTGGTTAGTTATAACTACCGTTTGATGAAACATCTAAGATATACACACAACTACTATAAGAATTGCCTTTAAAAAAAAAGATAAATATAATAGATAAAATAAATTAGAGATTTAATACCAAATTAAATATTAGATTAGTTTTTATATTAACCACGGGAAGTAATATTATATTTAGCAGAAATTAGATCTACCTAAGATACCGCATGTTGTTTTCTTCTACCTGTATAATCATAAAACAGATGCCTTTTGTTTTGTAATGGCCATTTTATGCATTTATTGTTAACAGCAACATCTCATATGCTCTCCTCTTTATGTGTGGGTGTTTTTATTAAGGATGTTTTATTCTGCTCTACAGGAAGTCAACCTCTTTAAATTAATTGTGACATTAATAAAAATTCCATCGCATTAATTGACAAGTATCTCCAATTTCCTCGAAAAAATAAATCCACAAGCTTACTTTAACAAGATTTGTATGTAAAGACTGAAGTATCTTAGTATCACAATTCACCAACTAAATTGGATTCAATGTTTATTATAGGGTTAAACACGGTTTAAGACAAGTACTTATGATTTTATAATGACTTGGATTTGAGCTCAATATTGTTAACTTCTAAGTAGACTAGATTAGATGTCTTTAACAATATGTGCTCTATGTTTCTATCAATGTCAAAAATATAAATATGGAATTTTGACTTCTGATTAAAAAAAAAAGTAGATAATAACTATTTCTATACTTTTATGAAATTTATAAAAATGAAACGCATTCTTGAATATCGTCACACTTAAAAAAATTACTCAGTTAATAAAAAGCGTGTGAAAGTCTAAAAGTATGAAAATATCATTAGCAAATGAAAATATAAAAGTAAATAATTATTCATCAAAATAATATTTTCTAACATAAAATATCTACTAGGATAAGCTATTAAATTAATAATTTTAGGGAGTGCTATTTCACCTGCATTAATGACAGAGCTGATAGAGAAATAAAATAAAATACTACTAGCTGATAGGAAAAGATATATTAATATAATCAGAAATAAAAGCAAGAAATTAAAAAACTCACCAAACTGTCTGAAGATAATAGAAGATTAGATTGAACAAAGAGACAAAATATTACACATGGTGGTGGCAGATATACGAACCAATAAAAACTCGACACGTATCCAAACGCACACACAAAATCCACTCATCCGTATTTTCAACATGCTCGCTCCACATGTTGCCACCTAATCGCTGTCTCTGTTTTTCTCTTTTCTATATAAAACCACCCCTCACCACCGATTCTGAGTCTGTCGCCGCCGCACTCTCCTTAGTGTTCCCCTTTTCTTCTCCTCCCTGACTTCCCCTGTACGGACTCTCTTCCCTCTTTAACGGTCGACGCCTTTAACGGCCCATCGGAGGATGTCTCGCACGGGCACTGCCACCGATTCCACCATAAGCGTCGATGGTGATGGTTCCGCCGGAGAGATCATGCTGTTTGGGGTTAGAGTTGTGGTTGATTCCATGAGGAAGAGCGTGAGTATGAATAATCTGTCTCAGTACGAGCATCCTCAGGACGCCGCAAACAATAATAACGGCAACAAGGAAGATACTCTGGCTGCCGGCTATGCTTCCGCGGATGAAGCTGCTGCTCATAATTCCGGCAGGCATCGCGAGCGTGAGCGTAAGCGAGGTCCGATCACATCATTTTTAGCTTTCTTCACTGCGGCCTATTACTTTGCTGAATTTTGTTTGTTTGTTTGGATTTTGTTATGACCAAAATGGATAACCCCGCCTAGAATTCTTGCTGATTCATATAGTGTTCTTAGACATCCTCTGTCTGAAGACCGTTTGGTCCCTTTGGAAACAGAATACGATAGTTTCTTTGCATTGATGTTGATTTTGACTAACTGTACATGTAAATTCAACAGGAGTTCCGTGGACAGAGGAAGAGCACAAGCTGTTCTTGCTGGGATTGCAGAAAGTTGGGAAAGGTGATTGGAGAGGGATCTCAAGGAACTACGTGAAAACTCGGACGCCTACACAGGTTGCGAGTCATGCTCAGAAGTACTTTCTCCGGCGAAGTAACCTCAATCGCCGACGCCGTAGATCCAGCCTTTTCGATATAACGACCGACACGGTAATTCTACGACCGTACTGTTCATGCCCAACAGTTATCTTCCCTTCCCCTCCTTTTTGAAGAATAAATAAATCGAGAATCAACGCAGGAACTTGGTCGGAAGTGAGGTTCATTTCCTGTTATTCTAATTCCAAGTCAGTCCTTAATATCTAATAGGTTATAGTCCATTGTTATTTAAATCGAGTAAGAATTCCTGATTTAGTTCTTAGTCTTCCGATAGGTAGTTTAGCTGAAGTTTACTTTTGCTTCTCCTGGGGGAAGAAAGAGTATATTACTTCTGATATTCCATGTTACTCAATTAGTTTTATAATTTCTTTGGTGGGTAAAGAGACATTGACAATAGTAGGATAACGTGATTTTCGGTTTTGGTACCCTACGTTTGAGAAAGTTGACATTTTACATGGTAGATTGGTAGGCTTAGTCAAATATTAGTCTGCAATTTTTCTAAACTCGAAGGATCAGAGAAACTCAGGTGAAAAAAAAAAAAAAAAGATCAGAGAAACAAGTCTTTCTGATCTTGTCAATTTTCTGCGTCAGGTCTCTGCAATCCCAATGGAAGATGAACAGATCCAGCATCAAGATTACGCGTCTCATTCAAATCCTATGTGCTCTGCAACCCCTGAAACCACCAACATGAATGGATTTCCAATGATGCCAGTATATCCGATGGGTGTTGGTTCTGGGATGATTTCAGTCCCAGTTTCAAATCCAATAGAAAAACTTACTCTTCGACAAGGAACGATGGACTGTAACGGGCAACCCCAGCTGGTCCGATCAATTGCAGTTCTTTCACATCCTCAAGCTTCTGAAGCATCTAATATCACATCAAGTTCAAGTTCAGATGTTGATCCACCTACGTTGTCTCTTGGGCTATCCTTATCTTCTGATCAAAGACAAACTTCAACAAGCCATCCTTCTATGCTTCCCATGCCACGTTTCAACAATGGAGATAACATCATAAGTGTTGCTTGAGGAAAGATAATAAGAACTTGGGGTTCGCGGGGATGTTTATGTCTAATTTCTCTTCAACAGTAAAACCTCAAAGGGGAAGGATAAGGATGGTGATGATGGGAAGGCAGCTTTTGTGACTGAAAGTTGATCCCTTCTGTTTGTTGTACAGACCCTGGAAAAGGTCGTGTCCTGTTGTTATTGTATTCTAATGCTATGACCTTAGATTCTTGTTTATTTTAGCCGTTTATGTCTGTAGTTTGATGCAGTTGATTGAAAATAACAAGTACTACTGCATGTTCATTACTGATAAAATTTGGATGTGGACTACACATTCGATCCCCAGTTTCTACATATCTCTGGCACCAAAAATATCAACTTGCATATGGCTTTTTAATTATTCTTGTGCTGGGCTGTGTCTTCGAATCAGGATTAAAACGCCTTTTATCTTTTGGGTAATTCCTTTTTGGTGAATATGATGACTCTATATTAACTCCTCTCATTAATGGCCTACGCGGTTGACTGATTGCATCAGTATTAATTTCATGATTGTTTGTGTTTTGTGGGCCATTTGGCTTGGTTCGAGACCACCTTAGCTACTGTCATTCTCGTAATTTATTTCGGGGCCAGTAATGATTTCATGTTATTCTTCCCTTTTACTCTTGACCTGTTATATTTTCACCCATCATATTGTTTCCTACTGGTGATTCATCCAAGAATAATGGCCCACCTAATCATATTGTTATTAAAATATGTATTATTTCGATTCTAAATATAAGACTCTTATATTTAGAAGCGGAGGAGTATAATTTATCATATTTTGACGGAAAAACTAGTAATAAATATAATTGAAAAACGGTATATAATTTTTATCTTGTTTAAACCCATTCTCCAAGGAATAATATTTGTTGTTTTCAAAGCTGAATCAATTTATCCACTTAGTAAGAAGTGGGTAGAACAAGCATGATTATAGCAGAAGAATAAGAATTAGTACGCGTACGCCATGCTATTAACTTTAATGGAAGCAAGAAAAACTTATTCACGTTGGCTTAGGGATAGTCTCAAAGATTAAGTTCCCTAAAGAGCCTGTGGGGATTTTCTTTTGAATTGTTTAATCCATTTCAGAAAAACGGAAAAAAAAAAAAGAAAAAGAAGAAAAAGAGACGCGTTACGTACACGCACAAGTAAACTAAAGGGGAAAAATTTGATAAGGCCGCCAGGACGTGTTCCTAATTTTTCATTGCGAAGTCTTTGCAAAAATTCATTATTCAATTACGACGCACAACTATATAATACTTCTATTATCAAGTAGTGGTTTTTTTTTTTTTTGGAATACATAGAAAGGCATAACCTTAGAAAGAAAAACGAAAGAAATTAACCCATCGAATTTAATATATTCCCATTTCCCAATCAAACCAAACCCCTGCAGATCTTTGCAGTTTGTATTGAGGAGGAAGAGATCTCATAATCATTTCTTCAGTAGTTATGTTCTGAGTTGCTTTCTAATTAAACTTTTTTTTTCTAATCTAAAGGGTTGGATTTTGCAGAAGGAGTTAGATTAAGATGAATTTAAGACTTGTTTGGTTTCTTGTTTTGAAAATAATTTTTTGTTTTTAAAAATAAAAAACTTGTTTGGTAATTTGTTTTTAGTTGATTGTTTTAAAAAACAAAAAAATAATAATATGTTTTTAAAACTGAAAAACCAAAATAACTTTTACATGTTTTTTTGTTTTTGTTTTTGTGTTTTTTTTTTATTTTGAGAAATTGGAGAAATCTTCTTTTTTTTTTTTCCTCTGTTACCTACTACTTATCATACCGGTGATAACTACCACTTGTCAAAGTATAATTTTTTATATTTTTTTTTATCAAATATGATTTTTTAAAAATTATTTTCTAAACAAATTTTTTTATTTTTTGTTTCCAAAACTTGTTCTTAAAAACAATTTTATAAAATTGTTTTGAGAATAAGAAAACAAAGAATAAAAACAAACAGGCACTTAATCTTTGAGACTAATCACTTCATATGTCACCTAATCTCTTTGAGCATCTTTCTATCGGTTCTCTGAAACTTTTCTTTTGGTAGTTCTAATCATTCAATGCTTCTATTAAATTTACAAGTTTTACAGGTTTGACTTGTAAATTGTAAATATGGGTGTTTGACTTGTAAAATTCGAGTCTTAGTCATGCGAGTTTGATTTGTGAGATAAATTTGTTAGGATCTTCTTGTATTTACTTTGCTTATATGGGACGTATGGATATTTTTTCTCAGATTAAAAAGCTAAGCAATCATGAGCTTGTTGAGTATGATTTTCCAACTCGTAGTCATATTTTTGGACCACTTGTTTATGATTTGCCGGCACTTGATCTACACAAAAGTGATGAATTTCCAACTCCTTTCAATTTGACATGATCGAGGTATCTCAACGGTCAACTGCAAACTACTCCTTCCGTCTCTTATTATAAGATCTTTTTAATTAAATTACGCAGTTTAAGAAAACAGTTAAAATTAGTCAAAAACAATTAATATGTAGCAAATATAATTTTTTTTCAAATATATCCCTATATATAAATGAGTAAATGTAAGAGAGTAATAGTTAGATAAATGAAAAAAATAATACATTAAATGCATTAAATTAGGGATAAAATAGATAATAATGCATTAAATGTTCAAACAAATTCAAAGAGAATCTTATAAAAAAACAGACCCATTCAAAAAATTAGATTTTATAATAAGGAATAGAGTAGTACTCCTTATTATCGAGCTACTTCATGCGGTTAATCCATTGTTTCTTCAAAAATATAATCCATAATATTGGTCTATGCTATGACTTAAATATCGGAGAGCCTCTCAAAAAGAAGTGAAATTTATAAATTTAAGGAGCACTTCCATTTAATAGGTTAGTTTTTTAGGATAAGTTTTCTTTTTAAATTTCTGCTCATAATGTTGATACCTCCATTAAGAGGCTAACGTTCTCATAGAGGCTACTCACAAAAAGTTTTGACTAGCAAGGTCGAGTGAAGTTCACGGATTGAAGCTATAAGAATGTTGGCTCTTAAGCGGAGTATATTGTTATGATTCTCGTCAATGCGTAACATCTTCAGGTAGTTAGGAATAAGCAGCAAAGCAACAAGAGAAGTTGAGTCTCTTACAAAAACTACAAAATCGTTCATTTCTCCAAGCTAACAAACCCAATATCAGTTTTATTGAATTCATATCATCCTAGCCAGAACAGCTGTATATGTAGTAGTTATGTAGATACATAGATGCAAGTTAAGGAAGACTATCACTTGCTCCCTCAAAGACTTCACATTTGGTATGCGGAAAAGTCTCTTACAATAAGCATAGTAAATAGATTTTTTCAGAAAACCTACTCCAATAACTATGGTTAGAAGTCTAACCTTCCCTTTTCCATTTCCTTTCTAGCAAGGACTTTTTCGCATACCAAACGGAACAGAAGGATTCTAAGTCTTGTGTGAAACGAATCCAAGCTCCTTTCGCTTCTGTTCGATAAACTTAGCAGCCAACAAATCTACGCTCTCTTCTTTCTTGTGCTTAGCGGGGACTTTCTGTTCTTCGACATGAGAGGTTGATCCATCGGCTGGAACTGGATAGGTCACGTATGTGGGGTTACCGCGACCCCTTGGCCTCTCCGACCTTTTGCCTACATAGACCTGATCAGCATACTCAGAATCTGAGGTTGAAGGCCTTCTGAGAGTCTTTCCAGCAGTAGTTCCAAAAGTTTTGAGTGCAATAGAAAAAGAGGATAGCCTAATGATATTTGCTACCACCTCCATGGATTTCTCACACAGAGAGCTGTCATTCTTTGGCATCGCTCTGCTATCCATGCTTCTACTGGTTGGAGCTGATCTTGTAGTGAACTGAAGTGATTGTTATGAGATGAAAAGCGCAAAGAACACGTATTTATAAGGATCTTATAAAAGATTGGTTCTTTCTGATTTTGTAAAAGCTCTAACAGTAAGAACTTGCTGTTAACTGAAGGTGTTGAGCAAAGTATAGAAACTTCAAGTAATTGGTATTATCTTGTTTCTGATTGAAAAGTGAACGATTTTTTTAGCTCTTCAGTTGTTATTTGGGAAATGGTCATTGGTTTAATTTCCACTACAAACAAAACAATTCAGAAAGTGCGGTTTGGGGAATCTGTGTGACAAATTAGATCATTGTGTATGTCAGTCTCATGACGAGAGATTGTGTGTTAATGTTGGGCTTCATCAAAAGTTTCCATCCATCAACCAAAACCACATGTTACCGAGTTACGCAAAGCCTATACAGCAAAGGAACAAGATTCTCGGACAGTGGATTCTGCCTAGTTTCCACTTTATATTTTGACATTTTCATATAGCTCCTTTGTCATTGTCACTTTCTCAATGATTCTCTTAACTATTGGTTAATTTGGTTAGGAACTAGTGGTTAATTACTTTCATCGCTTTGTCTCGCCTTCTCAGAGAAGTTTTTGTGTATGTCTGAAAAGCAGCAAGTGAGTAAAGAAATCTGGAGCCATCCCCAGCCACCAATACAACAGTTCTGACTTCTGACAGCATATCACGATACGTGTTCCTTAATAATTTTAAACAAATATTTCGGCAATGTGTTAATACTTAATAATGTTCATATCCATTCATAACCAGTTCAGTTTACTTAGAGGGTGTTTGGATAGAAACTAAATCATGGTTTCAGAAGTACTTTTACGGATTACGAAGTAAATATGTGGAGGAGATTACTTTATTTTGCGAAAAAGTGCTTCTGAAACCATAGTTTTGGATTTCCCAAACACCCCCTTAGTTTTTACGGTCTGAATCAATTCGAAGAATTCTCTAAATATTTTTCAAAAACTCAGTTGGGTAAAACAAGGGGTCCGCATCGAATCTGCTTGCTCATCCCCGACACGGTACCGTTTCCAGCATGAGACCCAACAAACCCCACTTTTTTTAATTAATTTTATTTATATTTATTTGGGTTAAATTGGATTAAACGCTCTGAAATATTTTTTTTAGCAGTACCCAATATTTTAAAATGATTAATTTTCAATATATCCAACACTCTAAAGTATATTTTTAGGAGCACTCAATATCTTAAATTTATTTTTTGAATGCATCAATATCTGAAAATATTTTTTTAGCGGGGCTCAGCATCCTAAATTAATTAATCTTTAGTATATCTAACATTTCAAAATATTTTATATAGCACCTAATGTCCTAAATTAATTAATTAATTTTTAGCACATGCGGAAAAATCTTTAGTGGGTATTGGGTGTTATTGCGAATCAAAAATTAATCAATTTAGATATTAGTAAAATTATACTAAGTAAAAAATCCTCTAGATGCAGTAAAAATTCATTAATCTGTATTACGGAGTGTTACTGAAAAAAATATTTTAAGATA